CCTTGCACTTGGCCTTGTTGAACTTCATGTTCAGATACAAGAGAAAGACTGCAGTTAATTTTTACGTATCTAGTTTAATAAGTTAATAATGACAAATATAACTGCTCCATGCCTTTCATACAGGATTCTTAGTTTTCTGTCTTAGATCATCTCTCCCTTCTTTGCCAGAAACCCAGGATCTTCCATCCATGGAGCATGACAGTGCTCTGGCTTTGGCTCTTGAGCAGGAAACCAAAGAGGAAGCCCTGGCAAGCTTGGAGGATGCAGGTTTGTTTTTTTGTCAGATCTGCCAGAAGGATCTCTCAGCCATGAACACAACTCGACGAGAGCAGCATGTTAACAGGTAAAAGACCAGCAGGATGTGTCCTTTCTTCATCCTCCGCCCCTCAACCTCACAGCCTGCTCACTCAGCTGAGCCATCACAGAACATGGTAGCAGGGGAATCTGCGTGGTGGCATTGACCTTTGTGGTTTGAATTAGCAAGTTGTTTTAAAGCAGAAGCTGATTGTCTTACCCTGCCGGGCTTCTGCATGTGTGAGGTAAAGCCGATGCTGTTTTCATCAGTAGTGTGGCACAGGAGCTGTGGTTGTAAAGTGACTATCAAAAATAATGAGGACTCACTACTGCAGATTTTGAGATCTACTGATCTCAGCCAACAAAGTAACGTTTCCTCTACTTTGCTAAAAATTGTTTGTCTAAGGACGTCTCCTATGTCCCTGTGTGTCCAGGCTGTTTGCTGAGGGAAAGGTGAGACTGTTCAGGAAGATGACCAACTACCACTGTAGACAAGGAGAGTAGTGAGGGGCTAAGGGAAGGTGTCCCTGCCTTCTCTTTTGGCAGAATGTATGCAATTAAATTGAAATTAGTGCCCTTAATTTAACAATTTCCTTAGTGGTAAATATCAATTCTGTTAATATATTATGTACAGATAGCTCTGTGTAAATTAAAAGTCAGTGCTTCTCTGTTGAGAAAGTATCAGAAACAGCCTGTTTGAATGGTTGTAGTTTCTTAATTCCAGCACTTCCAGAGGGCAAGAGTGATTTGATTTGTGTAGTCCTACATCTTGTTATTGAGTGGCTCATGTTCATTAGTGCTGTTTGCAGCTGCAGCTTTATAGGTGTTATTGCTGTTTCTGTCTGCAGATACTTACTGCTGCTTGAGAGGACAGAGACTGGAGAACAGTGACGGTGTGTCAGAAATGGTTCTTGGAAATGAAGTCTGCTTTCTGAACTATTAAGCACATAATCATAAAATGAGATTACAAGGTTATATTAGCCATGGATTTTTTGATAGCAGTGTTCATCACAAGAGGTAAAGCTGTAGATGGATAGATGCACTAGCACACTAGTAACCACCAGTCCTCGTACATCAGATGAACACGCGCTGTGTGTGTAGGTTGTGTATGTCATCACCTAATCAGGGAGTGATTTTTATAACAGGTGCTGCAGATCCACAGTTTCACACCGTGAATTTCTTTGGAGAAGACAGGAAAAGAACCATTAAAATTTTTTAGTAATAGTTTTGACCTACGAGAAATGATGAGAAGTTCGTTATCCTGCACTCGTGAATGCAGTGTTAATTTTGACTGGTCCCTTTTCTGTGACATAAAACACTGTCCTTGTCAAGGGAGATATCTGACTTGAAAATATTTGCATTCTTGACACTGCATGTGGTCATGCCTACAAAAGTAGTAAGAAGAACAAGAAGTAGTCCTGTTTTGGGTGAGGAAGACATTGTTTCTCTGGTAGGGTGATTGTTTTTTAAATGGCAGTTTTTAAGTGAGCTGGAGTGTTAGAGTGAATGGAGAAAGAGGGATTAGGTGATGGACATGTGATGAAGTTAAAGAAGGTTATTAGCAATACTTGCTTCTGAACAATGTCTTTTTAATATGCCTCCAAGGCCATAATCTCCATGTAACTGTTGCATGTCATATTCATCACGGTGGTGGGCACTTTAGACCATGTTTCTCTGGCTGTTACAGGTATTAGAGATGATTGTGCTTCCTTTTCCTTACTATGGTTTAAATCTTAGCATGGGCAGTTTTGAAGTCTTCAGAGGTAAGCTTTGCCACCTTCTCACAGGTGTCTGGATGAGATGGAAGAAGCACAGATGTCATCCTCCAGCAAACCCCTGGTCCCTGAATGTCCCATCTGTGGGAAGCAGTTCCAAACCCCACAGAGCCGAGTCAGTCACTTGAAACGCTGTGCTGTCAAGATGGAAGTTCCTCCTAAGCTGCTTCTTCAGGCGGTACAGTTGCAGGCATCCACGCTTGGTGATGCACCTCTTCAGTGTCCTAGGTAAAATACAAGATGTTGGTTACTTTCTTTGGCCTGAGAGACGTTGAACCTGTGCAACTGGGGATGAAGGGTAGACACAAGGCAGACTCACACTCTGGGTGAGCCCCAAGTCCAAGGAAGGTCAAGTACAGCCATGACCCAGTAGCACAGGAGGAGAATGTGGTAGGCAGTTGGAGAAATCATCTTGCTTTCCTTCCAAAGTGGTCAGGTGGTGGATGACTTTAAAAGTCAGCAGACAGGAGCAAAATGGGGAGTAAATAATCTTACACTGGTCTGTCAGAATTATTTGTGCTCTGTGAGGTAATTATGCAGTAAAAGCTGAGCGGTGTGTTTGAGCTTATGGAGCAAACCACGTCGTACGAGTATGAAGCCTCTCCCGAGCATCTGTCGTGCCAGAGCCTCAGCTATTCAGCTTGTGACTGCACTGGATGTATGTGCTTTCCACTTCGAGCCAAAGAGGAATCAGGAGTGATGTTTTGAAACGTGCTCTGTGCAGAGCTGCATCTGCTGTCTTGGATTTGAGGGGAATCTTCAGCGTACAGCGAGTGGTGCCTGACTGACCTTTGTAGAAGGGCTTGTAAATCCCTTTGTGCTGAGGAAAGACCATTGGCTGTTCCCTGTGGAAGCAGAAGAGTGGGAAAGCATTTTCTGGTGATCTTGGTTTTGCCCTGCTTCAACTTGTTTTTTTCCCCTTTGGTACAAAAAAGTGTTCCAAGCAGAGACAGCCGATGCTTACATCAGTGCTGTGGTCTCATGTTTACCTATTCAAAATAAAACTTCTCTAAATTGCTCTAAATACCAGGGGTGATAATAAATCCTTTACTCTCTGCTAGGGAAGAAGGTACTGAATAGTTTTTCATTATCCTGGATGTGGGAATCCCTCTGAGCAAGCAGAGCAGCTGGTCTGGAGTGCTCAGTGTTTCTTGTCTCTGATCCAGTCGCATTAACTTGGGCTTCCTGCTGCATTCTTGTATTTCAGCAATCAACCAAGCAGGTCAAAGCGAAAAGGCTCCTCCAAAGAGGACTCAAAAAAAATGCAGAAGAGGGCCAAAATGGAAACTAAGGATGAAGATTTGCTGGTTGCTATGGCAATGTCACGCTCTCTGTTGGAACAAGAAAAGCAAGAACAAGCAAAATCAGTTACAAATGTGAAACCAGTGGCTGCTTTGCCAATCAAATGGAAGCCAGGATCAGGTATGTGTTAAAGTGAGTTAGTGCCAAAGGCTGTGTTATTGGAGGAGTAATGTAGCACAGCCTGCTCTTCGCTAACGCTTTCCTGTTGGGTACAGGAGGGATGACAGCCCTGTTTCTGTTTTATTTAAGCTGTCAGAGCTTCAACAATGTGCAGTATCCACACACAGTCAAGAAAGGCTGCAGGATGTCCATGGGTTTTAGTGAAATCCCTTAGGAATCTCATGCTTTTTTTTTTCACCAATTGTTTGTTTTGAATCTATAAAATATTCTTCAGATAAGCTGATGGATTTCATAAACTGTGGAAGTGAAAAGAAATAACATGAAAACATGATTGTTATTTCTCCTGCAGTAGATTTTTTTCTTATTCAACCTACTGCAACCTGGATTAATGCAGCTTTTTCAGCCTTATCTCTTATCTCTCTGTTTTCTTTCTGCCATGGACATGTGTGTATGCTACATGCTGTTGAGCATGTGCTTCACTATTTCATTGTGCAGAAAGGTTTAGAAAGGAAGAAACTGCCAGAGGAGAGCGTTGAGAGCTGTATAGAGGGGAGAATTCACTCTTCATGACACTGCTCAGGTCTCCTGCCAATAAGTAATGCCAGTTGGATTTGGGGTTGGGCATTGGTAAGACAAAGACAGTAAGACACAGGATTTCCAAATGAAAGGTGCACTGTGTTCATGTGAGCTGTGGTTTGATGCCATCGGTGACCAATACACAAGGAAAGAGTCCTTCATGGATTTGTTGGTGTTTTTCTCTCCCTTTTTTGTGAAGTGCTGCCATACAAACACCATTCCCTGGGTCTGGGAGGTAGACTGCACGGATAGCAGTTGCTTCTGTAATGATCAGCTTTTGTAGAGATGTGACAGCTCCCAGCAGAGCAGTGCAAGCAGGAGTCAGGCTTTTCTGGAGGTCATTTCTCCCATAAGGGTGATGTGAGGCTCCAGACTACCTGTGGAAATCTTCAGAGTGGTGTTGGGCTTGTAGATGCCTTCTGGTCATTGCTGATAACTGCACTTGAGGGAGCTGACATGTTGAGCTCCCCTGCCCTGTATGTTCAGCTGTTTATTTAGTTGAGTTCCTCTTCCTTTTCTTTTTAAAGAGAAAAAACGGCGTAAAAGAGGCCCAGCTGCACCTCCTCCATTGCTGCTTCAGGACCCGGAGAAGGTCCGCAAAAGGATCCAGGAGCGAGTAGCTATGCTGCTGGCAGCAGAGGTGGAATTCCCTCCCACCCCTCAGCTTCCCACTAGCAGGATTTTGGAGGATGAATCTGGGAAAGCAGCCTGGCTCTTGCCATTGCCCAAAACCAAGGAGTGCTTTTTATGGAATTTCAGTGCCCTGACAGGACCTTGTGACCCTGAATCATTCTATGCTGCTGGATTAACCCCTCCAATTGGACCTTGGAAGCCTGTGCAGGTGGGATGCTCTTGGAACCAGGATGCTCAGTGAACCAGGATGTGTCCTGGTTCACTTGCCCTGCAATTCTGTTTCCTCACTTGGTATTTAAATGGGTGATACGCTGCCTCTGTGTACTCGCAGCTGCCCTGTTGTCCCTGGTCTTATACAGTTGGGTTTTATGATCTTGAACTTTCATTTCTCCCTTTTGGACACAGGCTGAGGCTCATGTTAGCTTGTTACTCCTTAAGCTTTCAGAAAACAAAACTGATGGGAACAGAGAGTCCTGAGTAAAGGCACCCCCCCCATTCACCACCAATGCCCATTTCACCACCATTTCTCCATGTTTATAGCAGCCTGACTCTTGTTTTCCTTCTTGGCACTTTTCTCTGATTGATTCTAGTATGAGCTTTGCCCGTGTGTTGCACTCAGCAAGGATCTGGGTGAAGAGTGTAGACTGAAGACTGATATTTGCCTTGCACAGAGGAGAAGGCAGGAGCACCTAGATTTGTGAAGCGAAACATTTGCACTTCAGGCTTTCCCTGTGCATCCCACTGCCTCCTGGTGCATATGAGCTTTGATTCAGTTTTCAGCTCCAGTTTCATTGTGTATTGCACTGAGATCTCCTGCCTCTTTCCATGCTCTGTATTTTTAGAAGTGCCTGCAGAAAGACAAAGCTCTTTGTAGTCTCATCTTATCGCACATTTGCTCGCTGAGAAGAAGGATATCACTTCTCTTCCTCATTCTTTTACTGAAGAATTGTTTGGTGCTTCTTTTCAAAAGCCACTTTGCATATACAGGTGTTTTATTTAATACTTCTTCTCTAGTCAAAGCCCAGAGTTTTTCGCTTGCTTATCACAGGCTGGGGCTGTACTGGAGGGGCTCCATTCTATTAAGATTTTTGACCTTTTGTTCAAGCCAAAAACCACCAGAGAAGTTTAAAAATAAAAAGTAGAAAGCCTTTAAAATCATGGCAAGAGTGTGTTTTCCCCTTTGATTCTTTCCATTCACAGAACTGGCTAAAGCATTTTTACTTAGAAATAAACAAACAAAACTATTTTTATTGGGAAACAGAGACCAAACCTGGAAAATATCAGCTCCAAGGTGAAAGTTTGATTTAGTTACATGTAACTGCAAAAGCATTTCAGAACTCAGAACAGAAGCACCTGGAGAGCTTCAGTGACTGTTGCCAGGCGCTCCAGCTTTAACGAAATATTTAGATATTGGAGTGGGAGCATTTCCACCATCCTTTCTCCCTGCTTGGCAATTGCCTGCACAGACGTGGTCCTGGAGAAACCACCTTTTCTGCATTTTCTGGTGTAGTTTCCTTTCTTCTGTTTGAAGTTGTCTTATCTCTGGAGATGCCTTCATAAAATTGCAGAGAGCTTTTGCCTCAGAAGCCCTTGTACCTAGTGAATGCTCTGTAATCCTTTACTAGGTGCTTCAAAAGTATAAAGTAGAGACTGTACTCTGAGCTCTGCAAATACATTAAAAGAGAGCTGATTTATTGGTGTCTTTGTTTCCTCCTCTTTTCATCAGAATCATAAGCCAGGGAACCTTACGCCAATAGTGGGATCTGAGGAGCCAAAAGTATCCCAGCAAATTCAGCCTGACCTCAGTTCTCAAGAGTCCACTTGTGCAGAGGTTGGACGCCAAACTTCTGATGAATCCAAGTCAGGCCATGAAGATGGACAGTTTTTATCTCGCAGCCAGAAGGATGTCCAAACCCTCCAGGACCTAGTTGAGTTGGCCGAGGAAGGACTTACCCTGACTCAGTGGAACCTTGATGTTAACCATGTTCAGGCAGCGCAGCAGCCAGGTAAGTTCTGGCAGCTTCATGAGCCCTGTCCCCAGTCCCTTCAGCTTCACAGGGCCTGACTTCACTGTGCTGTTAGGAGAGCCATGACAGCACCCACAGGATGTTGATGTTGATCCAAGAGGTGATACTGTGGGGGGACATTTTTCTGCAGTAAGCTTTAGATACAATCAAGCTAATGTTTCTGAAATGATTCATAAATCCAGGATTTAAGAGAACTCCTGGACAGCAAATATTCAATTTTATTTTTAAATTCCTTTAAAGGTATCAGAGTATTTTCTCCCTGGCAGGTTCAACTGCTGGGCCAAAATGCTCATCCTAACTATTTGGACAGTCTGTTATGTGCACTGTCTTTTGAGCTCTTGAGACAATCAGGTGAACAAGAAGTGCCAAAGGGATGAATTATATTGGTATACTGATGACATAAACCTGAAATTTATCTGTACCTGTACAGGGTGGAAAAAATACACCACCTAGAATTCCTCTGTGGGCAACTCTCTAATGTCCCCAGTCGTAGTTGCATGGTGCACAACCACACATTTCAAGGTGAACTATGTCCCTTAAAATGGCCTGGCTGTTCAGCAGCATGTGTTGTGTGTCTCCTGGTCACCAGTGAAAGAGAACATGGCTGCTACGTTCACCTGTCTGCGTTTTCACTTGGGTATAATATTCCTCAGTTCCTGTGCTAAACTGCAGCAGATGATTGTTGGTCGTATAAAACTGCTCCTGGGATTTCAGTGGAGATACAGCTTCCTGGGTGAGGGAAATAATTGTATTTATTATACAATTTATATTGTATAATATAATTTAAATAATTTATAAATAAATAAATTATAAATAAATAAATAGTATTTATTATAAT